GGTGACGACCTTGACGTCGGAGACGATTTCAATGGTACCACGAGCGATCTTGGTCGGGATACCGAGAGCCTGGAAGAAGGAGGTCTTGCCGGGTTCCATACCAGTGTTGCCGGCAGGGATGGTGACATCCTTGGGCGCGAGCGCACCAGCGCGGGCGGGCGCCGCGACCTTGTTGGCGGTGATGATGTCACGGATCTCCTTCAGGTCGCCAGAGGTGAAGACGAAGCCGATGTTGCCCCTGACGTGGGGCAGGAGCTTCTCGAACTGGGGGTACTCCGTGAGGATGGAGCGGAGAGCACGGCGGACCATGGTGTTCTTGCCCATGACGACGACACCCTTGGCACGGAGGGCGACACGAATCTGGTGCATCTGGTTGGAACCGACGTTGTCGACATTGACGACGAAGATCGAGGCTAGTGGGAGAACTCAGAATGAGTCAAGCACGTTGTGCATGTTGGAGACGTACGGTACTTGGCGACAAGCTCCTTGAGCTTGACGAAGTACAGTTCCTTCTGCGCACGAGTGGCACCCATTGTTTTAGTCGGCTAACACGGCACGTTCAGGATATCTGCAAGCAAGTTATCCTCGGACGACTCACAAGTGAAGATTTGGATATGTGTGTAAAGGGCGAATCAGTGCCTCCCTATGACCTCTGCACACGCAAAAATTCGCCGGTCAACGAACACATATCCTCTTATCGTGAATCAACGCTCACCTGTCGTGCCAAAGGATTTTTCAAGGCAACTGGTCGTTAGTAGTTCTGGTGAGCAACACCCAAAGTGTATACCGTTATGGCAAGCGGTGTGGCATGCAGTTCTGAGAATTAGAGTTTGACGGTGCCGGGTGATGCCGAGCGCCCTCCCAAACATGCGCAAATACGCGCTCGCTGGCGAACACGTCGTTGACGCGCCCGTGGCGTCGACGTCGACGGCTTCGACGGCCCTTCCTGCGGCCCACTCACGGCTAGGGCTTGCTAAATTCTCTTACTTTCTCTGCTTTCTGGCTCTGGGATCTTGTAGTCATTCACGGTCCAACACACGCTACGCGTGTTGACAGACGCGATTTCTGACGCGTACTGACCACCAAGAGTCATCGCGTACTGTTCGAGATCGTCTCATGCAATGGAATGTGGCGACAATGCCTGCCGACCGTCCGGGTCATCGGCGGCGGTAATACTTGGAATACTAGTTATCGGTGCGCCAACTAGTACCGTCACCCGAGACAATCTACTTATCGTGAGATATGCATCAGAGCCCATACAGCGGCCACCAGTGTTGTCCTCAGGAGACACGGGTCTGGGAGTCACCCACCGAGGAGTCAGATAGCATTCATCCCTGACTCAAGTTCTCGCGACACCTCCCCCCTCGACCTCCGTGACGTGTACACAACGATTGTCGTAGATGCCCCCGATGGTTCAGCCAACCCGGCAGCAACCAGCGACGAATCTACCTTTAACTTATGCAATCCGGACCCATGCGGTGCGACGTTCACACCAGTGACCCTCAATACCCCCTTGAGCGGTCCAGTGCACTTGCCACCTCTAGTTCCTTCTGCTACCTTGGTCTCAACCTCCCAAGGCGACGTACGCGTGCCTAGCCGTGAGGCATCCGGTCAGAAGGAACCCGCTGATGAAGACAATGCAGTGTCAAAGTTGCTCGACATATTGTCCGCACCATCGATTCAGCAGACTCCGAGTGTGATCCGGTCCTTGTACTATTCGGTCTCTTCGCGTGGACAGCTATCCATGCTGACTAGTGCCCACTTCACTACACTCCTGCGCCTCTTCGGCACGCTTTCTTTGTCATCCGTTGACGAGCGGCATCAGTCAAAGTATGCATACTCGCTATCCTCAGATCTTCCTGAAAGGTCGTTTCGCCCCTTCTGGCCGTTCTTAGTGACGATCGGCGTTGACAAGACCCGCATGAAGTTTCCTCTCAACTTCGTAGATCATCATTGGTTACTGCTGGCCCAACTCTCGGTCCTGGACGCGGCATGTCGTTCGGGGAACAAGCAGAGTAAGTTAATGTCCGTTCATGACAGGGCCGACAGCTAACGGACGTCGAAGGGTCTTGGTTGCAAACTAAACTTCGTGTTGTACAGCATCATCACCGGATGCTCACGAATGGGAAACCTTTGAGCTCCCACGAAGAACATCATATGCCCTATCTGCGGTTCTTACTGGCACATTCCTTCCCCGCGTACCAGGAAGAAGCGGTAAAGGCAATGTCGGAACTCGTAACGAAGTACGATGATTGTCCTGCATGGCTTTTGTCATACCTTTGGAAGCTGGTCATGAATTCACGCGAGCTCTCGGATATCCTCAAGGCTCGCATCCTAGATGCGCTAGGGACTAGGCTTCACAGACTGTCAGTCGAGACACCCCCGCATGCCGAAACCGGAGGGAAGCAAGACCCGGCTGGTTCGGGACAGGCGTTCGAGCAATCAGGCGGAGCGCCGGCTATCGCTGGCCTGTTTCGCGATTCCATTACTCTACCCCACGCTCAAGGCCCCGACGTTCTACTCGCTTCCACGCTCGTTGAACACTTCAAGCAAGCTTTGTTCACTCGCACTACCCCTTCCGCCAGCAACCGTGGTGCTCTAGATAGCGAGCTGAAAGAATGGGCGCTTGCGCTCGTTCACACTGTCTTTGCGGAGGACGTGACACTTGGGCGACGCTGGTCGTCATTGTATCTCCTTGCGCTGAGCAACGCCTCATCACGCTCAACCCAACGCTCTGAAGACAAATCTTCCCCAGAACCCGAGGCAGTCGTCGAGTGGCGTACAATCTGTGCCCTCTCATCCATCGAGCAGCTCGTCCGACCCTTTGACAAACACGCGACGCTACCTTTCACGATCGAGGTCAACGAAGGCCTCTCTCGCGTCCTCGACGCACTTTGGCATACCTGGACATCCACTCCGGCGAATTCCGTCGTGCGCCTACCCATCACTGCGCGTGTAATATGTGCTTCATTCTACTACTTGGGCGGCCGTTTTGGGAACTCATCTCTAATTCAGCGATGCCGAGTATATTGCACTACATCTGGCTTATGGAAACCTATCCCGGTCGATTCGTCTTCCCCGGCCTCGATACAGACATTGGCGGCGGAGCAGTTGATTTCTTCTATCGCGACCCAGCAGCGTGTCGACCATGCATACCGTGCCTTGATCAGCAGTCTTTCTGATGAGCGCTTACTCGGCTCAATCGTCAATATTGTGGTCGGCCGCGTCGTGCCCGAGACTTTACCCGCCGTGCAAATTCTATACAAGCTCGCGGCTGATTCCAACGCAGTTAGCCTGTATGCGCCTTCAATGGCGAAGCTGACGCTCACTCTGGCCCAATGTGGCTTTGTGAACAAGGCGGTACAGTACCTGGATTTCAAAGAGTTCCGTGATGAAGAGCCCCTGGTGGTACTGGCGCCTCTTCTGCCGCACATCGCCTATTTGATACAACGTCTCCAGCAGAAGAACGCGTTGATTCTCGGTCTGGCAATGCTTCACGCCTTCCGATCACCGCCTCCCTACTCAGTGCGCGAAGATGTTCAGCGAATTTTATTGGCGCTGCCACAGAGGAGGAATATTCCGGAGATAGTGGTCAAGGTTGTTGAGATGGTGGCAAATCAACGCCCAACCTTCTTCAAATGGGACTTCTATTATCTTCTTTTTCGACGACTACTCAGGCATCGACAGTTCTCCCGCGCACGGCTCGTCTTCGATCTCGCCGTTCAACGCTCTCCCCGGATCCAGCGGCGATGGACGGAGCTCTTCATCTCAGCTTGCATCCGCAGTGGTTCCCTCGCCCTCGCGCGTAAAACAGCCTGGAGTCATCGCCTTCGCTCTCAGACAGAGGTCTCTTCCGTGGCCCGGCTTGCTCGTCGCATCGTCGCACACAAACATAGTGTCCGACGAGTCGCCACATTGCGCATGCCCGCAATTGCAGCTCATTCCGAGAGATCCAAACCAGGCCTCACTTGTTCGCTGACCACTTTGCTACTCCTCCGCGCGGGCCGCCCTCGTGCGGCATTGGACCTCGTGGCGCGTATGCGGCCCGACTTGACCGCCCAGGAGATAGCGAGCGTCGGGAATTCGATCCTCCACGCGCGTAGCAAGGGGCTTGTGAACGCGGCCGGTTTTCGTATCCTACTCAAGATACTCGAACGTCTGGGCTCGACGTGCGGTTTCGCTCCCGACCGAGTCACTATCAATATAATCCTCGGCGCACTGTTGCGCTGGCGAGCGGTGGACCAGATCTTGATGCGGAGACTCTTCAGCAAGGTTCTTCAAAGCGGCTATCCTGGAGGGAGACGAGAGCATCGGGTATTCGAATACCCTTTCTATAGTACAAGCCGATCCGGAGGGCAACGGAAGTATCGACGTCCTCCGGCTGTCTCACGTGCACGAGAGGCGGCGGAGCGGGCTATCAGTGCATTTTCGCTACCGGCTTCAATCAAGGAGGAAGTCTCGTTCGAAAAGCACGTACGCCCACTCTATCGTTCGTTCATCAAGTATTTCCGTCAGAGGAAAGACATGGCCGCCGTGCGTGCTGTGGAGAGTATATTGGTGGAGCTGGAGGAGGAATGGGCAGGCAGAAGCAACGGCAGTGGAGATTGTGATTGACGGGAGGAAGCTCGTATAATATATTCTACAGGTGTTTCGTGTCTCAACGAAGTAGTTTTGCCGTGCGATCTTTACACCTATCTTGTGCTTGAGATTCGTGACTTTGGCTGGGCGGAGGAGACACAGTGGCCGGTGAGATCTATGGGACGTGCAGCCCACTAACGATGATTTGTACTTGTTTCTGCTAATGTCAATGAACGGCGACGTATCCATCACGGTTGACGATGCAACCCCGCCAAACCTGCGACGAGAGCCGTGACAGAGTGCCACTCGATGACCTCGAAATCTGTGAAATATCGAGTTCAAGCAATGCCTCCAACTGAGCATTGGTGACCATAGGTATGTATTGAGCAGTTCGAATATATGACATATACACTGCCACACATGGCGAGATGGCCGAGCGGTCTAAGGCGCCAGACTAAGGAGGAGGAGGAACTACTTCTGTGTTATCTGGTCCGAAAGGGCGTGGGTTCGAATCCCACTCTCGTCACTGACAAATGCTTGAACGCTTTTTTTGCCCTTGTCACACCCGCCCAGAGTAAGCAGTAGACCATGTCGTAGATACCGCGCTTGTGCTGTCTACCATAGGGTGGTGTCCTTCACGACAATAACCGGAGAGGCCATATTGCCATTTTCCTGCTGCTCCCCGCCATAGACAATCTCCCAATGGGCATATGCAGCAGGACTAGCGTGATAGGGCAAGCGTCGTGCCTTTTTTGGGATAGCGGGACACAACTTATACAACTATGTATATTCAAAACCTAACAAATACAGATATCTATTGCCTATGTATGTATCACTCGTCGAACCCGGACAAGTCAAGGCCGTAGAAGAATTGCTGGTGAGGAAAATGGGTATCTGGCTTCACATATGGAATGACGGCCGACGTACCTTATACAGACTCATCACCTTGACGACCCAGGCGTCAAGGTGGAAGATCTTCTTGTTCCCTATGCGCATGCGTGTCTCCTATCTCTCAACCAACAGTCAGCCCTGCATTGATGAGATACCAACGAGGAACGAGACGCACGTATATCGCCGCCCAGTGCATGATGTCTGCCTTCAGAGTCTCGTCGACGCGGTCCACGACGCACTCCGCCACCGTCTATATACCGTGAGCATTTGCCAGGCAGGGAAGGGGCAGCGCGGCCGCGTACCTTCAGGATAATGCTAGCCGGGATACAATGGCTCAGGAGTTCGTAGAACTTCGCGCGCACCTCCATGACGCGCGCGGGGGTCTGCTCGCTCAGGATGAGCTCCGCGACTTTCGCGCAGTACGTCTCCCAGTCTGGCTTTGCGATCGCGAGCGAGCCTGTCAGGTCCGTTCTGTGCCATGCCCGTGGTCAGACACAGCTCGGCCAAGAGATACAGCATGGGGGGGTGCGACTCACGACTGCATCTTCAACGCTTCGAACACGAGGACCGCTTTGCGCATGTTGCCGTTCGAGTCTGCTACGATCGCCTGCGCGGCCTCGTCCGGAAGGTGGAAGCGCTCCTTCGCCGCGACGTGGTGCAGCACTGTCTCCATCTGCGCACTCGTCAGCGTCCCGTCCACGGCCTGCAGCGGGGGGTGCACTCGCCTCTGCCGGTGACGGCGCGGCGACGCGCATGAGCAGGCACCGGCTGCGGATGGGCGCGATGAGCCGGCTCGTGCTGTTCGCGCAGAGGATGATGCGCATGTTCGACATGTACTTCTCCATCGTGCGGCGCAGCGCGGCCTGCGCGTCGCGCGTGAGCGAGTCCGCCTCGTTGATGATCACCACTGCATCCGCCGTTCGCGTATCAGCAGAGTAGAGGGCGATGCGTGAGATGCGACGACTCGCCCTTGAACCGCTGCTTCGCGTTGAGGTCTACTTGTTGTGTTTGCGCGATCTCCTTCAGGAGCTCTTGGATCACGACCCGGTCGTAGTTCCCCACTTCGCTATGTGCCCGTGAGTCAGCGCACGGCGACACGGGATTGTATATGTGCACAGCGGCAGCACCTTGGTGTGATCTCGATGTGGAAGTTGCTCTGTACGACATTCACGTCGAGTTTCCGTTTTGATGGTGTCATGAATACACGCTGATCTATCTTCAGCTAGACAAATCATACTGCTGTAGGCACCACTAGATTGCGCGAAAACCTCACAGCATACCTTCTCCACGCCCTTCCCGAACAGCTCACGTAGTGTGCACGCAATGCGCGTCTTCTTCCCTGCGCCCGACGGCCCATAGAACAACATATGCGGGAAATCGCCCGACGCAGCCTACAAAACACTCGTCCACACATCCGTCAGTGACCCCATATAGCAGCTCAACAACTCACAAGGGCGCGTAACCGGGCAGAAAGACCCTCGTGGTAGTGCAGCTCGTCGAGCGTGCGCGGGCGGTGCTGGGCATTCGCAGAGGTTGGGTCAGATGTCAGGTGTCGGGAACATCATAGAACTCGTTCACCTTGTCCACCCAGAGAGACATCTTGAGATTGAGGTCTGGGACGGCTGGAAGGGAGTGAGAGTGGCGAGGGTGGCTGGGACCGAAGGCGACCCGCATGGTCGCGCGTCTCTGGTGAAAGTAGGACGCGTTACGTCACGCGCTTGCGTGACCGGCGCGTGGCCGAGCGCGCGTCTTGTCGCGCGACGCGTTGTGACCCGTCGAGAGTACTAGTTGTGTTGGGAGCTCGAGCTCGAGCTTAGACGGAAATGGTCTCCGAGCTTGAAGTGATATTATATGTTTATTTGTCGTATATGCTCTCATGCTCTAGCAAATGGCCCGCTCGCCCAGACAGAGCATAGACACCTTGTCCGCGAGCCTTCAAAGCTTCATTCCACCGGATTGGGACTCGTACTCAGACTGCATAATTTTACTTGCATCGACATGACCAGCCTCCACGGGCCCGCTAGAGTCCTGGGCGAATCGGTCGATGTGCACGCATATATACGCAGTCAGGGCACAACACATCGATGACGTCGGCATGCCAAGAACCAGGTGGATGGCAGCGGCGACCCGACGCATGGCGGGACCTGGCGGGCCTCGGCCCTCGGCTTGATCGGGAAGGACGCGAGCCTAATATGGGAATGTCCATCGTGTTCGATGCCATTCTGCGAAAATCGGAACCACAGTCACGGCCACCACTTTGAAGAAAAAGTGCACAGTATTTGCTCACAACCTATAAGAAACCTTCCCCTTTTGAACAACAAGAGGGTAGCGTTCGCGCTGCACCGTGTCATGTCGATCGCCGGCTTGTCTTGGACTAAACGGAGCAAGAACTACCCACATTGCAGGAAAACCCGGAGTACCTCCACGATTGCGTTGCAACGAGTATCATGAAGGAACGTTCGAGAGGATTGCGCAAACTGTATATCGTGCGCTTGGGCTTGATAGCAGATTGCGAGTGCTAGCAGCGGCCCGGGAGACGTGGCGATATCCAAAGCGGGCTGCGGGGCGAAAATCAGGACCTTCAGATTACCAGCCGGAGATACAGAGCGGAAGGCTCTGCGTATGATGATAGATAGAGTACAAAGTTCCGAGGAGAACAAGAGCGCCAACGCGCGGGGATTGCCACCGAAGTATATCTATCGGACGCCCTTGACTTACATCGCGAACTAAGCTTGGGCGAGCCGGGCGCAGGATCTGACACTCGAGAACGACCTCTAGCAGTCTGCTGATATAATCGCGTAGCAAAGTGCCTTCGCACGAAGAGTGCAAAGGCGTGTATCAATTTGTTTTACGTCCAGCAGCAGTCTTGTGTCCAAGGATCCTGCGGGTGGTGACCCACGCTGGACGGGAGCCGTGACAACCGTACTTTGTCGAGTTGTACGTAGGCAGAAGGCCGAGGTCCGACCGGGCTCGCAGCAAGGACAGAGAGACCGGTCTGGGATGCGGGGGCAGAAAGTCGAGGGTAGAAACCTATATTGGCGCGAAGAGGGTAGCAGCAGAGGCCAAGGACCGGGGATGGCAGTCTGCACCCAAGGATCAGGAGAAGAAGGCGTGCGGGGATTCGTCGGGGACGACATTTGCGCGGATCAGTTGGCAGGCGGATTTCCTGGGGTGAATTTGCGGACGAGCACGGAAGACGAAGGGCCAATGAGCTGCTCGCTGGAGGACCGTGTGTGGTCAATGAGCTGCTGCAGGCGGTGCGACGGCGGAGGGGGTCGGAAGACCCCCAGCAACTCCCCCAAAGGTCCAGCCCCTCGAGGACCCAAAATCGGCCTGAAATACGCAACGATTTCGGCCTACGATACGCAACCGATACCCAAGGTTTGTCACATTGTCACGGCACATGCCAATTTGTCACACAATTTGTCACGCTTCTTCTTCGCTGCTCAGCTGCGGGTACCGCGCGCGGGAGTCTGGGACGTACGCTTTCTGGTCGTGGACTCCATGTGCTGGTATGCGAAGGGAAAGTGTTTGTGCGTACCGCTCAGAGCACGGTCGCCGTGAGTACTTAGGACGGCACTTGACGGGTGCAGCGCGTCAGTCACCTGACCTCAGAATAAGTACGCAAAGGAGGACAAGGTTGCCCTAAATTCCACTCGAAATACGCAAAAAAGACATGAACATTTCGAGATTTTCGGGGGGTCAGATACGCTAATTTGGGCCTGACCTTTAGGGAAGTTGCTGGGGGCCTGGGTCGGATCAGAGCGCCGGCTAACTGCCATAACGGGCAGCGCAGCGCCGGAGTCGGTCGACGCCTGTCGACGCAAGAGGTCGCATGTGACATCATCGATAACTCCTCTTTGCACAAAACAGCCAACGCCTGGCCAGCGAGCCATCCCCAGCTCATCGCTCCCCCTCGCGGCGACCGCTGCTATCCTCACGACCACCACTCACGACCTCGTCGCCGTCGCCGTCGTCGTCGCCGCCGCCGCCATGTCCCCGTCACGACTAACATCCGTCAGCTCCCCGTCAGAGCCTAGCCTCGAGCTCAACGTCGCCGACAACACCCACCTCATCGTCGTCTCCAACCGCCTCCCCATCACCATCAGCAAGGATGCCCAGGGCGAGTACCACTTCAAGATGTCCTCCGGCGGCCTCGTCTCTGCCCTCTCGGGCTGCAAAAAGTCTATGACCTTCACCTGGATCGGCTGGCCCGGGTTCTTCATCCCCCCAAAGGACCGCCCGCTCGTCGACCGCCGCCTGATGGAGGAGTACTCCTGCCAGGCCGTCTACCTCGACGACGACGTCGCGGACCGCCACTACAACGGGTTCTCCAACTCGATCCTCTGGCCGCTCTTCCACTACCACCCCGGCGAGATGAACTTTGAGGAGGAGAACTGGCTCGCGTATCGTCAGGCGAACATGGCGTTCGCGCAGGCGATCCTTGGCCAGCTCAAGCCCGGTTCCATGGTCTGGGTGCAGGACTACCACCTGATGCTCCTCCCGATGCTCCTCCGCATTCTCGTCGACGGGCCGTCCAACGTCGGCGAGACGACCGCGGCCGAGTTCGAGCGCATCCTCGACGGTATCGACATGGACGACACGCCGCCGCCGTGCATCCCAGGTATCAAGATC